ACAGAGACGGCTCTTGTGTATGCTAGGTACAGCTAAGTTTGGATTAATTAAGTTGATTGAAAAATGTATAGTATGTAGTATTAATGGGCACGGACATGCCGTGTCTGCACATTGAAAGCCTCCATGTAAGTGAAACTCTTTAGCTGCAGACCAACTTGCAGACTTTGCCCAGTGCCAGTACTACTACTCATCTCATCGTCATCTGCTCCATCATCTGCTTCTTTTACCACCTCTCTACATCTCTCATTAATTTACCTCTCTCTCTCTCTCTCTCTCTCTCTCACACACACACACACACACACACACACACACTTGTATTGAAGCATCCTGAGATGTGGTTTCCTTAATTTTTTGCATTTAGCTGGCTGCATTCTGCTATAACTGACTTAATTCACTTTCCTCACTGCCATTCACATTTTAAAGTTAGTTTATACTGCTACTACTATATCATGGGCCTTAGCCTAGCTCGTATGAGCTTTCTTCTCTCCAAAATGGAGGTTGAGTGTTCCAGTAACCGTGTTGTTATTATTATTATTATTATTTTCTTAGTAAATACTTATACACCCATCTTTAAGAAATTGTTTGCATTAAAGAGAAATTGAATCTTAGACCTGATGCTTTTTAAGGCACCAATGTCAAGTGACTTACCTACTTGAGTCAGCCTTTGATTCGTTCCATCGTTTATCAAAGAGCCAGTAGTGATAGATTCCCCAACTCCAACTAGCCGACTGTCAGAGGAAGGCAGCTGTGGGAATGTGGTTCTCACAGTTCCCTACTTCCACAGTCCTCGATACTCACCTTTTATGATTGGTTGAAGACCAATTACAACAGCTGTGAAAAAAAATTCACAAATATTAAGGCAAGATTATTAATATTAGTTAAAGATAGATGTATGTCACAAATAAGAGCAACGAATCATTATTATAGGTTGCCATGTGAAGCGATTGTTGCTGCACTCATCGATCGCGTGGGCTTAATACAGCAACAGCCATTGCAAAATGCTGACTGTCAAGAATCTCCCTCAATATTCACGTTCATTAAGGACGTCCATCTTTAAATTAATTTGTAGCACAGAATATTAATGAACACTGTATATGATCTAGATCATGAGAGCTGTGCCTCTTGAACCTTAATTGATAGCACAATATGTATATATATATGTAACTGAGAACTATGTTTTTTGCCAGTACCGTCTGAAAGAATCGCTTATAATTATGGTCATTCATGAAAAATTATCAATGTCTATGGGTTAAGAAAAATGCTATTAAAGGCGTGTAAAGGCTGTACAAAAGGAATTATTTTAATTTTTCTAAGAAGAATGCCACTAACATTTTCAGTAAAAAAATTGTCATGCATGGATTTTTGCAATGCAGCTGTGTTTATTTTTGCGTAAAAGGGTAGTGATTGCGATGCAGATGTGTTGTTTTCAATAATTAATGTTCCAAATTTGTTTCCATGCTCTATTAAGGCTATAATGAGATGAATATCCGTAAAATTTTAGAGACTTTTTGTCTTGTACTCATAAATAAATAATAATAATAAACATCATCATTATCATATTATCAATATTGATATCACAAACCGGATCACATGGCAAATGAACATGGGTCAATATGGTTTAATACAGTTACAACTAGGGTTGGATAGTAATTAGTGCACCAAATATATGTATATCTCACATATGTTAGTGTAAGACCCAAATTCCTTGACTTCCTAATCATGTTTGTGCTTCCTAAAATATCATGGATGTGAGTTAGACAAAAGTGGAGAAACAAAAGAACAGATATTTACTTTTCTTTTCTTTTGGATCTAAAAATATTAATGAGTGCAAGAATATATTATGGATATTTTCAAAAATTGAGTGAGAATATAAGTGTGTGTGAGAGAATCAATTATCATGAATGTGGGGGCGGTAGAGAGTGAAAAAGAAAGATGATTATCTTTTGAATAAAATAAATTAGTGGGGGCAAGAATGTGAAGTGGGATATATTTACAATTTGAGTGAGGGCATTTTTAGAATTTTAACAAAAGCTATAAGTATTAAGGCTTTGTTTGTTTGGATATAAAATATATTTCAAAAAATATTTTTTTATTTTCTAATGTTTGGTTGTCGTAAAATATTTACGAATAAAAAGTATATTAAAACGTAACAAAAATAACTTACCCATAAATTTTCGGTAAGTTATTTTATATGTTCTGCACGATAGATTTGACATCAATCTCAACCTACACGTTTGCCTAACACCTAAAAAAACAAAAATAAAGAAAACATTTTACCTGAAAAAGAAAAATCTTTTTCGAGAAAAATATTTTACGTCGAAACAAACTGAGTCTAATATAAAAAGAAAAAAAAAAATCAGTGGTAGGTCCGTGCCTACCCTAGGCCAATCTTTGAGTTTTTAAACTTTTTGTTATATGAAAATTTTAAAAAAGAATAATAATTTAAAAATGGAACATAAACTTATTTGGTTGTCAATTTTATGAAAATTCAATAAAAAAAAACAGAACAATCTTTTATGATTCTTTTAAAATAGTTTTATATTTTAAAAATTTTTGAGAATTAATTTAAGAAGGGTGAACTAAAAAGTGTGAGAAGTGCTCATTTGATTGGTTCAATATCAATGAGTCCAAAAATAGAAAGTTGAGGATTGGAACAAATGTATAACTAGAATTCTTGGAATTTCTTAGAAATTCTTGATCGGTGCCCTATTAGTTTACAGAGACAATTGAATGACAGTTTATTACAGTAATATTTTTGCCTATAGATTGGTAAAAAGAAATTCCTTCTTTTTTCCGTCTTTTTCTAGAGAAGTCAATTAGATTTATAATGAAATTTAACCATTCGAATAATATATCCAAATACATTCCTTCTTGATTGAAAGAAATGAGAAGAGAGTGAATCCCATCAACTGATAAAAACAGGTGGTTTATTGAGGAAATGCAGTCTTTAATTTTATCACAACTGATTGATCCATCTAGAAGAGACTGAGACACTCTCAAAATCACCAATAATCAAACGGTTGTTGTCAACTTCACTGCTAATGCAGATGTGGATCCCACTGATCTCATAAGATGCAGCTCATAATTAATCAATGTCTGCCGATACAGTTTCATTTCCTACCCGTACCCACAAGCCATAGTCCGGACCCCTGCAACAGAACAATCAAAATGATAATTATAACCTCACCAATAATATTCCATTTAAACCTAACGACAGCACAAGGGTATATTGGTCTTTCCACGTAGGTCTGGCAGCATGGTTTCTATCAAAACCGAGCCTTGAAAAAGAATACATTTCTGAGGAGGGGATGTTTATAACCAAATTCTTCATACTGCAGGGATATATATATCCATGACATTTCTATCTCAAGTTTGCAGAAAATGATAATTTGTACTCTTTGACATACTTCATTCCTTTAAATTCACTTACAGTGAGATATTTATGAATAGCAATAAAATTGTATACATTTTGTAACATATCAGTTTGATTATTTGATTTTTCTAGTAGCCATTTTATGAACAATTGTGAGTACATCCGCTGGATGAAATAAGTTTTATGGTGGGATCCATCTGAAGCAACCTCAGTGCAATGGATTTGATCTTGCATTGCCTTCATTATCCATGACATTCTTCTTTTCTTTTTTCCTAAATAATCCGACAATTTATAAGGTTGCAGCATTATGACTTTCGATGAGATCACCTATCCTAAACACTACTCTCACTGAAAACAACATTTCTTCATTATAGTATAAAAAAGATATGGCCTACCTGATTTGTCACTAAAAGAATAATTCTCAATAACTTAGAAAACACAAATATGTTTTTAGAAACGGTTCTCTTAAAATAGATTAACTAAGATTTTATAAAACAATTTTCAAAAAATTTATTTGTACAATTTTTTTTTAAAAAATAAAAACTATTTTTTAAATTACAAACCAAACAAATACAATATTTTTGACTCAAAACTTTATATATGCATTTGTTTTTTGATATAGTCTGGAAGTCGCACATGATTCGCTAGCCAAATGTAAGATGGACAGACTTAGAATATGATATTGTCGATCGACTCATTTTTTGATATTAAGTTTTTTAAAATAGCTGATGATTAATGTATACTACCATATTATTATAAGTTTGGATGTACTTTGTTGATTTGGTCTCAATTCAGATTAGCTTTCCAAGTTTTAACGTGTAATTGATTGTCAAATGTTAGTATTTGTTGGTTAAAAATATAAGACATTGGAGAGGATAATAATGATTCTTAATTTGTTTTTAGTTGATATTCACACTCTTTGTTAATAAATTATTTGCACTCGAAGCACTAAGGTCTAAGGCCAAATTCTTACCCGCTTCAAACAGCCATTCAGTTCCTAATTGATATAAAGTACAAAATTAGTAATATCAATTCAAACCAACAAAGTGTAATATCAATTCAAAATTAGTAATATCTTTTATTGGAGTCTTAAAAATTGTTGCCCGTGCTCTCTACGCGCTCAAATGCATGTGGGGGAAAGAGTCTGCCAGCCCTCCTTGTCCATATATATTTCCATGATTCTTCATGGATATACATACACACACACACACACACACACACATATATATATATATATATATATCTATTTTACATACCCCTCTCTCTCTCTCTCTCTCTCTCTCTTATTCTGGCAAACCTCTAACGGTAACCTTTAGTTTGCTCTGGCTAGTCCATTTCCGTTCTAGTAATAGAAATCTGTATTTCCATTCGATCCCTCCTCAATTTCCGTGGAATCCCCCGCAACATCATCAAACGGACACAAATCATATAGATGCCCATCAACATAAATTTGATGGTGATAGTTTAATATATACTAGTCATTTTCACTTCTCCTTTTCTATTTACTCCTTTTGGGTATTTGCTAAATCTTCATATTAATTCACACCAATAACATCTTCCACTTTCATTTCAAATTACTCTCTCACTTCCCTCCAATTCTGTTTTCTGATTTTCTTTAGCAAAGGTGATGATGGATAGTGACACTTGTTTATCTGGTTTTTTTGAGGAGTGTGAATTTGGCGAAACTCAGGACCTTGCCTGCTCCGATGACCTCTTTAGTATTTTCGAGACTTTAGAAGGTGTTTTGGCGTTTCCTCCATTAGATGAAACTGTTTTGGGCTCCAAAGAAGGTGATCAAGAGACGAGGACACGGTTAGTTTCACAGAAATCTACGTCTTCAAGTGCTTTTCAGGAGTCTGAGACAGAGCCTGAAGCTTCACCACATTCCAAGAGACAGAAGCTCACCGGAGCCACCTTGGACCAGCGACACAAAATTTCTCACATAACGGTGGAGAGGAATCGGAGGAAGCAGATGAATGAGCATTTGTCAGTCTTGAGATCCCTAATGCCTTGCTTCTATGTCAAAAGAGTAAGTGGTTAATTAATTTTACATATGTATCATTATATATATATATATATAGTTTTCATGATTCAACTTCCTTTGGCTCAGCCAAAACTCTATTAATTTGATTAAAAATGATACCTACCAAGTTACTCATCCAAAATCTTTCTCACCGAAAGCATGCATGGTTCATATTCATATTCATATTCATATCGGTTATGACAAAGTTTTATGCTGGCTGTCCAGCTACCCTATTACTGAAAGCGAGAATATAACTAAATACTTTTAACAAATTAAGAAGCTTACGAATGGAACAAACTTTTATTAATGTTCAAAACCTAATTTGTTTCCTCTTAACATGCCCTAGAATTTGGAAGTCTATATCACTAACTCTTTAACTAGGAACCTCCATTAGATGTCATTATATAAGTATCATAGACTTGGTAATTAATTTATGTACTAATGTATATATATATCTTGTGCTTTCATGTAGGGAGATCAAGCTTCGATAATAGGAGGGGTTGTGGATTATATCAAAGAATTGCAGCAGGTTCTACAGTCATTGGAAGCGAAGAAGCAACGCAAAGTTTACAGTGAAGTTCTAAGTCCTAGGGTTGTTTCAAGTCCAAGACCCTCACCACCAGTACTCAGCCCTAGAAAACCACCTGTAAGCCCAAGAGTGAGCTTACCGCCAGTGAGCCCAAGAACCCCACAACCAAGTAGCCCTTACAAGCCTAGGCTGCATCAGCAAGGTTACCTCTCTCCCACCAAATTAGTTACTTCACTCGAACAGTCTTCTTCTTCCTCCACTTCCTCCATTGATCATAATATTAATGAACTCGTGGCTAATTCAAAATCAACAATTGCTGATGTGGAGGTGAAGTTCACTGGCCCTAATGTCCTCCTAAAAACTATATCTCCTCGGATTCCTGGGCAAGCCACGAAGATAATTTCCGCACTCGAAGACCTCTCACTTGAAATCCTCCATGTGAGCATTAGCACCATTGACGAAACTATGCTCAATTCATTCACCATCAAGGTAAGAAACACAATTAAGCTGATATTCATCCTCAGGTTACTATATATATATATTTTTAATAGTAGAACATCTTAGCAAATAAATTTTATGATTTTTGGTACCTACTTCTATCTCCAATATAATTTGCAAAATATTTAGTAGATATATACCCAATTAGGCTAGCTAGACCCGGTTTATGAAACTTAAATGAAGATCTTCACATCCTTTATTTCTTTTAGTTTGTTCCATTTTTCTTTTTTTGTCTCTTCCAATGCTATGGTCCTTCATCCATGTTGTTCATTTTAAAAACCTCTTCGTAATTAAATGCAACAGTATTAATGTCCAAAATCGGCTTGTACATGAACAATCTCCAATAAATTCCTCTGTTATATGTTTCATTTGGACTTTGGCGGTGGGGTTGATAGATTTTTGTTTCCCACCTCTCTCTCGCTCACACACACACACACACATATTTTTACTCAATTATGTTGAAACAATGTGTAGAACTGTATGGAACAAGACACTGCAAGCCTTTTTAAAATTTTTGGGTACTAAATAAGAACATAGAAGAAAGCAAGAAGCTAGGTTGCCATTTATTTCACACCCATTATTGTTAATGACACATTGTGGTACCGGACTAGACTTGTACTGATCCTTAAGTTAATTTACTACAAGTCTACATCCATTTATCTAGAAAGACACTTTCCATTGAAATTTTGTATAAATTTTACTGAACTGCCATAACTTCTCGTTTAGTCGTAGTATTATTTTATCTAGGATTTATTTATTTATGGCACTGATTCAATATTGTATTGATTAACTTAAATATAATGTGACTAATATGATTGGGTATGTATGTGCCTTTGTTTGGTGTAGATTGGAATTGAATGCCAACTTAGTGCTGAAGAACTAGCTCACCGAATTCAGCAAACGTTCTTCTAAGTTTACTAAAGCTTATTTGTTTCAGTCCAAACCCTAACACTCTCTTTCGATCTCCATCTCTTCCTTCTGAAGCTGTAGTAATAAAAGAGAATGTGGTGAGGCATTTACCACCGTTTTTATTAACTTAGATATTGTAATTTTAATTTACATCAGTCATGACCATGTACTAGCTCACTAATGTAACCCTTCTAATTTATTTATGAACATTAGTTTAGTATGGATTTAAATTTTATTTGCCTTCATGAGCTCATATTTACTTTAAATACTGCCTATGATTGTGGTTACATAACGTTCCTTGTTCCCTTTTTTTTTTTTTTTTTCCCCCTCAATTTTTTTGGTTTTTTGAATGAATATGTTATGCATGTCTATGACATCCCATATTTGCCTTAATGGAGGTGAGGTTGTATAGATGTGTTTTGAAAGTAAAACCATATGTTATTCCACAAATCCTAGTAGCTTTATGATATGTGATGCGGATGAATAACAATAAATTAACCAGTAAGGGTTATATAGTCTTGTGGGCACCAGTAATTCCCTTTTTCTCAAGCTCTGCATTTTTGTATATCCTAGAAATTTTTAAGTTTATCACAAGGGCACTCTTATGTTTGATGCTGCCCATGAATGCGAGTTCATTGAGGAAAAAACTGAGTACGATCACAAATGATAATGTTGATTTTTTTTTTTTGTCTATTTGGGGATTCGAACCCTCATCTTCTACTTTGAAAGGGAAATAAAATACCAGAAAGCCTTGGTGATTCAACTGAGTTAGGTGAGTCATGCAAAACATTGGAGGATTGTTCATGGAATTACCAAATTTGGGTAGCGAAAATTTTGAAATTATGAACAGATTTCTGATGTATAATAACTTGGAAAGTACGATGAGAGGGAAGTCCAGTACTACTTCTACTATCTTGTTTTCTTCAAACCCTTTCCTACTTGTTTGTAATTACTCTCCAAATTTGGTTCACAATCTAGTACTGGACTTCAGTTTTTTACTAATTGAAATACATGACAATATCCCTCAAAAGTGAGAGCACTAGTGAATGGGTTTTAGAACTATGCAAGTAGAGTCCAAAGAGAGATTGTCGTACAAATATCATCATAGCCCCAATATTAAATGATTTAGGTGATATCCCTAGTCTAATGTCAGCAAAGTAGAGGCCTATTATTATGGGATCGGAATATGCTCCGGTGCACCTCTCACTAAAGCAGATCCGGTGCAGATTCAAAGGCTGAGGTGAAACCACCTTAGCTCATTTGTCACATCATTACCCAGTCAGCATTCAGTCAACATTTACACAAAAAAAGTTACTGATATATTTTTTTCATTTACCATATGTACGAATATTTCATACACTTATACATTATACGAAATCAAAATACATAATTTATAATTACATTTAATATATATATATATATATATATTTGTTATAAATTAACTTCAACTTTACCTTTGGGGTTAAAATTTCTTCGTGCCGCGACCTCATTCTTTGCTATCGCCGGAGTTTCCTTACTGTCGTCGCCCTGTATTGTGTCCCTAGCTTCATCACCGGTCGTCTTTTGGTTCATACATCGGTGTAGGTGTTTCTAGCTTCGCGCGACTCAGTTCGTTGGTCAGTGGCTACCGTCTTTTGTTTCTGGCCGGTAGTTGCAGCTTTTGTTGAAGAAGAAGAAGAAATGGTTGTGCGGTGTTTGGCTAGATCCCTAGAACCGTATCACAAAACCTTGATTTTTTCAATCTTTTTGAGACTTGTCTTGTGTTTGGACTTAATATGACCTAAAGGACCGTCGAATTAGGGTTTATTATAATTATTATAATATAATGAACAAGTCCTGTGGATTGGAAATTGATTTCCTCCATTATTGTGGCGAACTTTGATTTATGTTGAAGATTAGGTCCGATGATTTCCTCCATTTCAATAGCGAACTTTGATTTATGTTGAAGATTTCACTGCTGATTTTAGCTTAATAATAATTATAATAATATAATGAACAAGTCCTGTGGATTGTAATTCCTGTGGCGAACTTTGATTGAAAATTTTGGGCCTGAAGAAAAAGAGAACAGAAGATGAAACCGAGTTTATCTATTGAAGACTTGCCTTGGCAAGAGAGAGGAAAATGATTGTGCTTTTTGTAGGTGTTCTTTATGAGTTTTCACTGTGATGATTACTCTCTTTCTAAAACCCATATCACTTTTACTGATATTTTGTCTCTAAATTCTTGTTTGTTCCATTGGTTGGGACTTGAGAGAGGTTTAAATCTCTTTTTTTAGATTTAATTATTTTCAAATCTGTTTCTTTCAATGACACCTTTTTTGTCTTGTAATGCAATTCTTCACGAGGTGGTGTCAGAATTTTTGTTTCAAAAATTTAAAAAAAAAAAAAAAAAAATTCAATCTTTCTCTTTCTCTCTCTATTATTTTAAGATTTGATGCTCTTTGTTAATCTTTTCCACCACACCGTGTTGTGTTCTGTTCTGTTCTCATCACATCTCTGCTTGCAACGTGTGTAGAGAGCAAAAATACCTCTTGGACATTTGTTTCACCACTAGTGTGGTAATCTTGATTCTTCTCTCTTCTGTTTGTAGAATATATTGTATTTCTCTCTCTAGACTTTTCAGTACAGAGGTTTTTTTTTTAGAGAGAAGATGGGGAAAGCTACCAGGTGGTTTAGAGGCTTGTTGGGTTTGAAGAAAGAGAAGGAAAGAGTGGATAATTCAAGTTCCGGCGACCGCAAGGAAAAGAAGAGGTGGAGCTTTGGTAAATCCGGGAAGGATTCAGGGGTTGTGGGTCAGATTCCGTTCAGTGTTCCCGTGGCAACTGATTCTGCTTGGCTGAGATCTTTTACTTGTCCGAGACAGAGAAGGAGCAGAACAAGCACGCCTTGCCGGAATCTTTCACCCGCCGGAATGGATGATTGCAGCTTCAGCTTCTCGTCGGAAGGGATGATCGGAAGTTCAGCTTCTCGCCGAAATGTATGGTGATTTTTCCGTACCGAGCTTCTGAACAGGGTCATTCTCTTCAAAAATCTTTATGTGCCTAAATCCTTGATCTTCTCTTCATAAATCTTCATCTTTATGTATTGGTTTACACAGCAGAGGCTTCGATTTTATGTGTTGGTTTACAGAGCAGAGGCTTCGATTCTGTGTTTTTGGTTTATATATCAGATCAAAGCAGAGGCATATATCTGTACATATATATATCAGATCAGTTTTGGCTCCAACCTTAATTTTGGTTTTGGGGGAAATTTTAAGTTGAAAATGAAATACAGAAAGGGAAGGGCATACAGAAAGGGTAGAGAAATGGTAAAAACAGGTATAAGCAAAACAACAGTTCTTTAGTATTTTACCTGCTTTGCCATATTAGCCGTGGAGCCCACCACTGGACCGGTTCTAGTGAGAAGCGAATGGAGACGATTTTTCTCCATTATTATGGATCATAATATGGATATTCTCCTCATGATATATATATATATATATATATATCATTCATTTATAGGGTGTCCACATGCAATGTTCCTGGACCAATATCTACTATAGGTTTTAGACATTAGTACTATTTTTTCCATCTTAAGTAAATGGATAACAATTGAAGGTCACTTAATGAATTAAAATAAAATGGCATACCAAAAACCGAAGTATATAAACTAAAAATAGTAGATGATCAATTTGAAAAAACACATGTATAACTGTGAAAATTAAAACGCATGTATATATTTAAGGGATAATTTAATAAAAATGGAGTTTGAGGGTCAAAGGATAAAAGAATTGTCAAAATCAAAATTTTCAAATTAATGAAATTTTATGAAAGTCGAATATTACTATACATTATCTTTTTCTTCCCAAAATACCCTTCTATAGTTGTTATGAAATTATGCTACTACCCTCTCATATATAGAGAGAGAAACTCATCTATGCCAATCCTCTCAGACTTTCCTTCCCGGGCAACTCCTCCTTCTTTAATTAAACTCTCGAAACATACTGTCAAAATCACCGAACCAAACCCTAGAAATTAAGAGATATTTGTCACTATTATTTATTTTTTTTTTTTAAAAGTTAAATATTTGCTACTTTGATACTGTAAACTTTTTAGGAAAATGGAGAAAGGCTTAGTTCTCATTTGTGAATATTTCAATTTTTATGGCGTGACTTGGATTTCACAGACCCACTTGAAGATTTCTTGTGGATCCACAAACATTTGTATCAACCTTTTGTATTGCCGAGCCGTGGATCAACCATTACAGAGGATTATGTTGGTTTTTTCATGATGTTTCGTGTTGGGTATTTTAATCTCAGCTTGGATCTTGATTTTTTTTTTTTTTTTTTTTTTCGTATGATATGGATTTTGGGTTTAAATCGGGTTCGGAGGAAAAGATGTTTTGGAGGAAACGTGAGAGGAAGAACAAAGATTTGTAGTTTTTTATTTTATTTTATTTTTAATGGGTTTGCTGGTAAGGTGGGTGAAAGAAAGAGATGGAAAATAGGATGGTTGGTTGTTCGTTTGGGAAAAAGGGTTGCCATAGATGGGTGTCTCTCTCTAGATATGAGATAAGGGTGTTTTGGGAAAAAAAATACGATGTATAATAAATTTTTATGTTCACATCAGACTTTTATAAAATTTTATTAATTTGGAAAATTTAATTTTGACTCCATTCTTTTGTCCTTTGATTTCCAAAACTCCATTTTTATAGAATTATCCCTATATTTGACCCTGGAGAGTTTGGTACATGTTTGAGAAAAAAAAAGAAAAAAAAAAAGGAAATGATATAATTTGTATAACATTTTTCTTTTTAAGTATTGTTTTAACATGATCAGAACTTACCAATATAATTTCATTCAATCAACTCAAGAACTACTGCTAAAGTAAACCAATCTGAGCTGGCCCAATTTTTTACGGTGTTAGGCAACCCTTTTTTATAATTTAGGTTTAGGTTGAAAAACCCTCAATTCAAACTTAATTAGGTTTAGTTTGTGGTTTCAACAGTCTAAGCTCAACTCAAAACCGAATTCTAATTTTTATTTATTTGTATATTTCAAATTGTAATAAATCCTTTCTTTTCAACTTCTATGATTTAAGTCTTAATCTATTTCTAAAAATTTGTTTGTAATGTTT